TGGTGATGGATTCCATTTTCTTCACAGTACTGAATCACTATAGAGTTGAGGAATTCAGTACCTCTATCTGACCTGATTTTCTGGATTGAGAGACTTTTCTCATTCTGGATTAGTTTCATTGATTCAAGGAGCTTCTTCTTTGTCTCATTTTTCTTCTTGAGGAATAAGGTCCATGTGAATCTAGAGTAATCATCAACTACAACCAGGGTGTACCTTCTTCCACTTAAGCTTGTTGGTTCAACTGGTCCAAACAAGTCAAGGTGTAGTAGGTTTAATGGTCTAGTAGATAATTCTACTTCTTTGGATTTGAGTGATACCTTTGTTTGCTTTCCCTTTTGACATGCATCACATAAGTGGTCCTTTTTGTAATTGATTTCTGGAAGTCCCTTCACCAATCCTTTTCTGGACAGTTTGTTGATGGTTTTGAAGTTGAGATGGCTGAAAACAATATCCAGATGAAAGAATGTTTATAGTGCCTTAGCTGAGTTGATAGAAATAATAACAGAAGAAGGTTGATTGATTTTTGAAAATCATAAATCAAAAACTTTCAAAAACTTAATTATGTTTTTGAAGTTAGCTGCAACCGTTGGTATGAAAGGAAGCCAAGGGGTCACCTTTGGAATCGATGTTGATGTTGAAGAGAGCTGACACCTTCGGTAAGAAATGAAATTGGTGTATATCATGAAGCGCTTGGCAAACTGAATCACATATTTAAAATGGAATGAACCCTTTATCTTTGACATATATAATTTAATGTGGCTAAACATGTGGATCCATATATTTAAGAATTAAGAAAAATGCGTAGAAATCACTCGTATTAGAAAAACTAAATAACAGAATTCAAAATCTTCCCTGCAAGAGATTGATTGAAAAAAATATTCAATCAATCTCTTTTGTTCATGTGTAGGCAATTTCTATGGGTCGTCAAGCTTATCTAACTCACCAGATGATGTCATATGTTTACCCTAAACGTAGTTGAATGGATTTTCCATATGAAGCAATTGAAAATGCGTGTTTATATTGTTTACAATTGACATAAGCCAAATTGATACAAATGTAGTTCTCTATATGACATAGCTTATTTATGAATAGAAACCAAAACCTGCCTATCGCTTTTAACTACGAAGTACAACACAGGAAGTGCTCCAATTGTATATTCTCGTGAACTGAAATCAAAATGAAGGATTGGATTAGAACTAAACTAAAATTATTGACCTATATATTACCTTTTATGTTCAGAGCATCCTCCTTCTCTTACTCCGCTCACTGAAAGATAAACTTCAGTCACTGAAATTCAAAATCGGAGTGGTGAGAATGTGCTCCTCCTAATGGTTTTCGAGTATATTTTTCCCCTTCCGCAAACATTTCTAATCGCAATTGAGAATGCGGCGATGAGGTGCGGCGAAGTGCATCGAGGTGGGGTGATTGATGTGGTGGCGTGGTGCGGCAGAAGATGTAGAAGATGAGTAGTAAGTGAGATTTCTAGAATTGAAACGTAACTAATTAAAGAGTAATAATTATCAGTCGTAATTGTAGAGGTAATTATGCAAAGGTAGTAAACGGGAGAAAAGCCATTAAAATCAGAGAGAAGCGGGAAATAGTTTTGGGGGAGGATTCTCCCTTTAGGTATATAGGATAGGATTAATATAAACAAAAATGACAAAGTTTTTTTGAACAGTTAAAAAAGGATAGTTTAAGGGCCTTGCACAATTAAACAAAAACCTGAGAGGCTGAGAGTGGAGTCTTTTTTTATTGTTGTGGGGGAGGATTCTCCCTTTAGGTATATAGGATAGGATTAATATAAACAAAAATGACAAAGTTTTTTTGAACAATTAAAAACACATATTGCTTGCAAATTTGTATTTTGAAATGTTTAATTTTGCAACAAAATGTCTTAATTAGGAGTACAAACATCAGGATTTCCAAAAAGAACTACTGTACTATGTTTTTATTAGCTAAATAAGAGTGAGTATTGACATGTTGTGGAATTACTAAGCTTTAAACAAGCAATATTTTACAAATTTAACATCATTTACTCCTATTTGAGGAATAAAAACATAGTATTTTGGAATTTCAAAACATTCTTACTCCTATTTAAATAATTTTCCATTATTTTATGTAATTTAACTAAAAGCAAATTTTTGAAAACACTACTTTTAGTTTTTTAAACAAAAACAAAACAAGAAAAGTCTTCTCTATTTACAAAAACACTATTAAAAAATGTAAAGGTAAATATAATGTACTACGTCGTGCACTTTTCTTTATTTTCTGATGATAATATAATTACGCACAATAAAATCTAAAGCTAATAAGTAAATATCATAACACTTACCAATGAAAGTAATATTTTTAAGAAATAATGACATGAATATGACCAAAGTAAAGATGCTAGATAACATTGTTTAGTGATTGTTATCATGTTTAATTTTACACTCTATTTACACCAAAGAAGTTGTGCCTAAAGTAACTTCAGTCACATTTTTGTGCATAAATTTTACATGAGTAATCTATTAGGGAAAAACTCTATTTTTAATGCATATTTTTAAAGTTATATTTGACTTTAAAATTTGATTTAGGATCTCATTTTAAAAGAGAAATTTCCTAAACCGGGCCAAAACATGACATATTTTTTCAAATAGAAATGTTATTATTTTCATCCTAAATAAAATAAGACCGGCATATCACTCTTATTTCGAAATTTTATATATTTTTATATGACTTAATAAACTCTATTTTCGAAAGGAAACACGTTTAGTCATTTTAGAACTATTTCCATGATTGACCCCCTGCCTATTGGAGCAATTTCTCTTTTGAATATTAGACTACAACTTGCATCCCGTATTCAATTGAATTGTTTGGCTTATATTGCCACCACATCATTGCATTACTTTATGAGTGTTTTTTGAGTTGATTAATTTAAAACGACAAATACTCTTCCACCATTTTTAATTCATCTGTTAAGTTCATATATTAGAAATACTATGAGGTCAATCTGTTAAATTCCACAGACAAAAACCATGTCACTCTTTTTAAAAAACCGGTACGCAAACTATCCACTGATCGCGATGAGGTAAATGTCGGGGAACATTTACCAAATTATATGAAAAATAAAGCACAATACAAAAAATCATGTCACCTTTTGCACCTTATTTTCATAGTCAACAATCTATTACCAATAAGCAGTCTATAAAGATTTTTTTCAAAACTTATTTATATATATACAATGTCACCATATACAAAGTTAAATGTTTTGATTTAAAAAGCTTCCTGAGGACTAACGAGGCAGACACTTCAATTGTACTATCAAGTCATTTCGTTCTAATAAAAAACTTTTTCTTACCCTTATGTGTTTTAAAATTTAATTGCAACTTTTCATCTACAATTATCTTTTTCCTATAAATTACCATTATATAATCAAAGTTACAATTTACATCCCTCTACCTTTTTTTTATTTTACAAAACTACACCCTACATACGGATTATCATAATAAAGGATAATTTTAAATAAGTTGTTATGCTAATCTAGATGTATCCCGTGCATCGCACAGGTACTTCGTCTAGTTCAAATATATTAGCTAAGTGTGGAAGTCTGACTCTGTGAGCTTTCCGTGGCCGACGGAAGTCTAGCCAACGCAGGTCTGGCCGATGGAGGCACTAGCCGATGGACGTCAGGCCGATGGGCGTCTGGCCGATGGACGTCTGGCCGATGGAGGCACTGGCCAATGGACGTATGGCCGACGAGGGCACTGGCCGACGGAGGACAAGTCTTCTCCTCGGCTTCTGGAGCGTATTCGGGATTGACTCTTCTTTGGCCGATGGGGTGCCATCTGGGTGACGTAGGGTCCACTTGATGACAGCCGTGCTCCTCTTAGTCTTCTGAGTATGTGGGTCATGGGGTCTGGACCCATATACTCCATTACTATTTTAAATAATCACTGCACTTCTTTACCAGAATCACTACACTTCATTTGACTGATCTTTTTAATGAAACACATTAAAAGCGCACTGATATGATACTATCAATTGTTATATCGGTTCTTCAGATTTTTTTAAAATCGAATCCATATTGGATTAATGGATCTTCAAATGATTCCTAATTTTCTTTTGAAGAACTTAATCGATCACAAGATGATATAAAAAACACCTTTTAATTCTTTTTAAATTTATCCTGTTTATCGGTATTGATGTAGAATTTCTTTATTCAATATTATAGATCATAAAATACTAAAAATTAAGAATTTATCATCAAGATCGCCTTGATACCCACCTTCTGACCGATACTAGTCCATGATTAGTTGTCCGGTTACTGATTATGAGTAAATAATTAATCAAATCTAGTCTGATTTTTGAACCGGATCAATGCGCACTTGTGTGACGAGTAGAGGATAAAAGAAAAGTCTACGATTTTTTTTTGATGAGGAGAAGAGACAATTACAGAGAATGAATTTAGAAGTCCATAAGAATGAATGAAAATTTGAATACGTTTAAACTTTTTTGGTTTAAAGCTATAGATTATATACACTTAAACTTTTTTAGACTTGAAGATCTACATTGAATACACACCTAAAATTTTACAATCCATACACATTTAAAATTTTGCCACTAGTTCATAATACAATAGACCCCTCTATGTATTTAGAATTATTTCCTTTAATTTTAATTAAATAATTAAAGATCACAACCTAGCCTTAGAATGTTTTATTTGGATTGAAACTTATATGTTTAGACTATATAAATCTAATGTGGTCTGTTCTGTTAAATGTTTGATTTATGTGTATTTTATAACTATGAAAGTCTGACTTTGTTAGATTTATTTAAATTTATTCTGGTCTATTTTAGTCTCTCTAACAAATAAAAACATCTTTATTATTTCATCCGTTCCCATAAAATAAGTCCCACTTTTTTTTTTGGGCAGGGATTAATCGGGAGGAAGACCCAACTAAAAAGGCCGGTGGATTTTCAGAACAGAGCTATACAAAGATGGGTTTAATAGGCTGTGGGATTTAATTAATGTTTAATGTCTCTTGTATTAAGAATTGGTCTCGTAATTTGGTCCATGCTTAAATAACTGCAGTTCAAAAAATTGTTCTCATATTTCCTTATCGAGGGTGACAGGAGAGCGAGAGGCAAAGGAGCAGATCAAACGCAATATTGAAGACGTGTGTTCTCTCTGTTTTCCTGTTGTAGTCTTAATCAGCTTAATATGTTGGGTATATTTTCAAGACTTTCCGTCATCAAGGGTGGGCATAGAAGAGCTCAAAGTGCACTTGTAAGTTTTTTTTCTCTCTCCTAGTCTGCAATTCTTGGATTCGATTTGGGGTAAGTAAGGCTTCTTTTCTTTGTAATAAAACCGTATGTTCTCCGATCCTAAAAGAACTTGTATTTCTGCATTTCTTTGCTGTTAAACTGAGACATTTAGAATATATTTGATACTTTCATGGGTATGAAAGCTATCGATGCGTGTCTGTAATTTTTCTAATTGCAATTGAGTGGAATGGGACTAATCTATCGTTGGGCAGAGCCAGAGCAAAAATAAATAAATCAATTCTGTCTTTCACTGAAAAATGAGATCTGATAGAAATATGTACAAGAAAGCTTGCATTTTACCCATAGAAACAAGGGTTTTCTGATGCAGAGAGGGGAGCAGGCCTAGCTAGCTCCTAATTAATTTGAGATTGTTGGGTTAGTAGGCAGGGAAAAAGTAGGAAATAGAACAATGAAAAGTAGTCTAAGGAGGAGGCCTAAGTACTAAACATTGGGATTAATTGGGAGGAAGACCCAACTAAAAAGGCTGGTGGATTTTCAGAACAGAGCTATACAAAGATGGGTTTAATAGGCTGTGGGATTTAATTAATGTTTAATGTCTCTTATATTAAGAATTGGTCTCGTAATTTGGTCCATGCTTAAATAACTGCAGTAATCTTTCACTTATGGAGTAAAACCCTAGCTGCGGTGACTGTGAAGTGATGAGCTATGGCGGCGTTGCGTTTAGGTTGAGCGAACAACCGTGCAACATATGGCTGAGTGATCATTTGTCTCGTTCACCTCTCTCGTCTGTGTTTGTTCAAGTGTCTGCGTCTTGTACTCTCTGTTTTTTATTCTTGTCTTGGTCTGGCGTATCATCTTGCCTTGGGTTTTCTACGTTCCGTGTGAACTGTGCTTGTTTTAGTTGCTGGTTCTATGAAGAGGCCAGATCTTCTTCTCTGATTTGCCGAGAGCTTGTGTTTCTTTGGCTGAGTTTACTTTCAAATTATTCAAACTTTTATCACTGTTTAGTTTATTTTGTTTTACATAGGGTCATAGTTGTCAAGGCGCATGGCAATCGCCATGGCTCAAAGGTATTTCCCATGGCGCATGGCGATGACACATATATGAATGGCGCACATGGCGCATATGAGTCTATGACGACGACCACTTTTTCATGGCAATGGTGCATATGGTGTGCGCCATATCTCGCCATTGACTACTATGCATAGGATATTCTTGTTGAGAGCTATAGTAAAGTTACCATTGAAGAGGAAGAAAACAGGGGGTTGGTTTTGGAAGCAAACCTGATAGGGGGTGACAGGCACTGACAACTAGTTTGTTGGGGTGTGTGTTTGTCATCCATGGCAATGGTAGTAACGAATAAACCTTTCTGACTAATTTCATTCCGTGAAACCATGATTATGGTTTGGAGGTCGGTTAGGGGGGTCGCCATTGAAGAAATTGACTCTTCCAAGTTTGTGCTCCAATTTGACCCTGAGGGGGGCATTAGCCGCGTTTTCGAGGAGGGGATCTTGTTCTTTCGAACAAAACCTAGTGGTCATAAGGAGGTTAGGGCGAACCGATAGACCACTTGAGGTGTCCTTAGAGTCTGCAAACTGATATAGAACTCCAAATTCGTACAGTAAATTGACTTAAATTAGCGATGAAAAATGCAGAAATGGTCATAAGGATGTTTCCTGATTTCATATCATGTTTGGGGACAACACTTTTTCATTTTTTAAAGACAATTCTACTTATGGATCTGATATGTTAGTTGTTTCCCTATGCCTTTGATGTGTGCTCTCATCCTGTTTTCCATATATAGAAATTATTTATTTCCCCTTATTAATTGGATGGACTTGAAGCCCTACACAACATGATAAACATGAGTAGAAACATCAGAATCTAACAACTAAGTGTTGTTAGGTACTTCTATAAGATTTGATTTGAAACAAACAAAACCAAAATGTGTACCTTTCTCTTTGAATCCAACTTTCCTTTTCGGACAATCGTTCTTAACATGCCCCTGTTCTTAACCAAAATGGTGACTTTGTTCGCCTCAACCTTTGTTAAAGCTTTCCATTTTTTCTTACCTTTCTTGCTTGACTTGATCTTATGGATGTTTCGTCCATCATGACATGGGCAGTGTGATCCGTGACATTCTTTAGTCTTGTAGCCTCCCCCCTTAGTAGAAATTGGCCAAATTTTTCTGGAAGGGAATTTACTACAAAAGTAAACAAATCATGGATTATCAACATGCATGCTTATCTTGGTTAATGCTTATCAACATGATGGATTTTCCATCATTTGCAATGGAGCCAAAGATTCATTATTTTTTGGCTTGAGGTTATGATGGAATAAAGCAAAATGGCTCACTAAACTGTCTGCACTTCTTTGTTATGGAGCAGCAGTCAGTCCATGCAATCTTGGACGCGATTTTCACTATGGGTCATCCGGAAACAGTCTCTCTGTGCTTTAGTACAGGGGTAAGCCTGCGTACATCCCTTACCCCACCGTAGGTGGGAGCCTTTGCGGCACTGGGGTAAATGAAAATGAAAATGCTTATCTTGGTTAATTCCGATGCGAGATTAGCCATCTTTTTTTTTTGATTAGCCATCTTATTGCAATACTCATTCATGACATATACCAATCAAATTTGACATTAGTTAACTAAGCCGCCTGATTACTAATGATGGATTTGTCTTTCAAATCTGGCTATGAGCTCTTCTTGATTTCTGAGATGAATTCCTTAACATCCTTGGTCTTAGGTATAGTAGGCTAGATAATAGGTGTCATGGTCATCTTCATAAGATGAGTTCAACTTATTATAATCAAGAAAATGAGATCAACTTACAGCTATTACTAGCAGTAGCAGTGATCTTAACATTAATTACAGACCGCCTCAAATAAAGTCTTAACAACTCCAGGAGGCTTTTTACCCTTGTGCATTTCCTTGACCGTCTAAAAATAAAGAAAATAAAGTTATTGGAAATCAACAAATTAAGTGTAAGAAATATACACATTCAACAAGACAAGTTAATTGGAAGACATGAGCAAGTAGTGGTGGCAGACTTTGAGCGCGCGGTGGAGGCATACATCGAGTGGGCAGTGGTGGCGAGAAAAAAGTTTTGGTGACAGATGAGTTGCGGAGGGAGGGGCTTGGATTTGAACCGTTTTGGGGCTAATCGAGGAAGGAGGAGACACCCATAAATTATCCCTCTGTATACGTGATAGAACAATACAATTCGACAAGCAATTCACAGAATTGATCAAGAACACAACTGCACACTTTTATTGAATAGGCAACAATGGCCGAAGCGCCCAATGGCCAAAGCCCCCAAAGAGAGAGTAATCTCAATCTTCCCAGTCCCCAAGACAAAGTCTAAAACAGCCTACTGACCTCTCCCAGACTTATTCTATTTATAACCATCTAGCTTAACCGTAAGTAGTTAATAGCTAACAACAGAATTTAACTATCAACTAATTAGTCTATTTAACTATCTTGAGGATCTCATAAATGGCCATGATACACATAGCCCAGTGTACGATTTTCAAGGACGAAAACGAGTGGGTTCCAAAGAAATAAAAAGCAGTTCATTTGGAGTGGTAAGAGTGTCGTAACAATTAATTAGTTAATAGTTAACTATCTTGCATGCAGAGCATAAGCACCATCAACTATTACCTAAAGTTAAACATTAAAGCATGATACATTTGTTGGTTAAAGTAATAGAAGAAGAGGTTACACTCTTACCACTCCAAATGAACTGCTTTTTATTTCTTTGGAACCCACTCATTTTCGTCCTTGAAAATCGTACATTGGGCTATGTGTATCTGGCCATCGAATAATCTGTTTTTGCTTCTCGAATTCGTCCTTCTTATTCAATTTCTTGATTACAGATTTCGTTGGCTCCATCTCGGTCATATTTATTGACTGAGGAAAGTCCTTCGCAGAGTGAGAAACTTGTGAACTCAGTGAATCTGATAGGGACGAAACTGGCAACTTCGAGAAGGAAAGAGCTAATGGCGACTGCAACGAACCTTTTCTTTTCGAATTCATACAACGACGCACAGTCCTGGATCGTCCTCGCCGGTGACGTTGTTGCTGCAGCTTGGTGCGCACATCGTCCAACCCAGTCCTTATCTCCTTGCTCTTCGCACGCTTCTCCAAAAAAAGTTTGAGCGCTTTTCCTTCTCCATTTTAGAGCGCTTTTCCTTCTCTAGTTTTGAGCGCTTTTCTTTCTCCATTTTTCCTCGCTCAACCTCTTCCGCGAGCTTCACCATTTTTTCGCGCGAAGCCTTTCGCGATTGCGAACTAAGAGAAACAGTTTGCGACTCCGATTGCGGACTAGTGAGTGACTGCGACGAACTCTGTTTGATGATGCCTGGTGTTCTTCGATCGGTGCAAGCGCTGATTTAGACGTTCACAGTCACGTAAAATTTCTTTCAACCTAGCGTTCGTCTCCTTCATATGTTGATTCAGATTGTCAAATCTCTCTTCCATTGGCGGTGTCATATATAATTCTTCCATCGCTCCAGGTTATTGATATTCTGGAATAATCGATGACTCAGATTCTCCTCCAGGAAGTGGCTGATACCAATCTTAGAACAATACAATTCTACAAGCCATTCACAGAATTGATCAAGAACACAACTGCACACTTTTATTGAATAGGCAACAATGGCCGAAGCCCTCAATGGCCGAAGCTCCCAAAGAGAGAGAGTGTAATCTCAATCTTCCTAGTCCCCAAGACAAAGTCTAAAACAGCCTACTGACCTCTCCCAGACTTATTCTATTTATAACCATCTAGCTTAACCGTAAGTAGTTAATAGCTAACAACAGAATTTAACGATCAACTAATTAGTCTATTTATTCCTTCTACAATATACTCGGTCACAGTCTTTATCTTCTTTATTAAGTACAGCTGTATCCCTTTTAGTACGCTTATTGCTTTGATTCCGCCAGACCGTAGCAAATGCTTCAGAATTATTACTTATTTGATGTGGTTCTGCCCCGACCACAGC